GGTGCAGTCCACCTGATATTTGGGCATTGCGGTGCCTGCTCTGGCTGATGTCCAGCAAGCTGCTGCCTGTGTTCCTGAGCGCACACTTCTGACATGGCCAGGGCTTCTACATGCTCATCCAGCTGCCTTCACCACTGCTGGTACCACCCCTAGGAGCCCTGAGACCCATCTGGGTAATTTAAAGAGCCAGAGGCTCTTGGCTGCTACTGCCACTAAACTGCCCAAAGCCCTGGGCAATTGCCCCCTTTGTTCCTCCCTGTCAGCCTGATCAAAGGGGAAGGGCTGGAGAGAGACTGTGTGTTTATGTTTCCACTAGGAAGTTAGCCATAATCCACTTAACTTCTGCAGGACTCTGCATGTTCTCAGGCTCTACTTGCAGGCAAGAACTTGCTGGATCATGGCCTAAACTGGGAAAGGATTTGGATACTTATTTGTCTCTGGTTTGGCTAATGCACCCTGAGCTGATAGCAGTTACCACGTGTGTTGTTCCATTTTATGGAATAAGACTTAAATGCAGTAGTGAGCAACCAAGTCAGAAATTAGAGGCTGTACACTTGTGTTGTATTATGCACCTAGCCAGCTGTCAGCCACTGGGCTATCCAATATGAAAGTAAAGACATATAGTAACACTACAGGACTGGCATATCCAAGGCGAGATTTTCACTGCCCTGGACGTGAAGAAAGTCAATCATCACTTGTCCGAGAGGGGTGGGGGCTCATATGAATGTTTCAAGTTGATTTTTTCCCTCTTTGTTGAACATGGCTGCGTGCATAACTTTAAACTGAACAGAACACAGAGCCAGTGGGCTTTCTTTACAGAAAATCTACAAGCCCACAGGGAGGGCTTTTCATTTTTAATCCTAATTAATGCCAATCCAATAGTACATTGCATGCATTGCCAATGCTAAGTGCCTGTGGGATTAGATAAGAAGCAAAGAGGTTTCAAATAGGGACCCCTCAGAACTGGGTGATGGTATTGAAGATTCCCTTGGTTCAGGCTCAAGGTACTTCTAACTGAGACCCAGTGAGTCAATCGCACATATTCCCTTTCCTTGTGATATGCAGGGCCTGAGCCATATCTAACCAATAAAGAGCTGACCCCCAAATGCTCCATTCTCCCACATCTGTCACTGCCATGGTGCTGCTGTGCTCCTGGGTGCACACTTCTGATATGGCCAGGGCTTTCACATGGCATCCTGCTGCCTTCACCGCTGCTGGTACCACCCCCACATGAGCGTTGGAGCACTGAGGCCCACCTGGGCAACCAAAAAGAGTTAGGGGCGCCTGGCTATTGCCACCACTAAATTGCCCAATGCTTGTTTTGCAGTTCTGTCTAGAAGGGAAGGAGGATGAGCCCAATTTCAAGCAGTCTGTGATTTTTTTCCCCCCTTTTTCATTATTAGTGCTCCCTGAGCTCGCTGGGTTGTTTATATGGAGTCCTCATTTGAGGAATTGGAGTGCAGATCCGGGGGAGCAAGTCATGCTTCACTCTGGCACTAGCACAGGAGGAGGAATCATTCTAGCTCTTCACTTGGAAATGTGCGATTTCCACACTTGATACTAGCATGCTCTGGAGCTGCATGAGGAATCTAACTGATACAGAGTGTCATCGTCAATCACTGAGTCAGGCCAAAAATCTGCAATTGTCTCCTCTCAGAGATGTCTTTGGCTGTGCTAGTATTACTCCGAGGCACTGTGGTCTCTGACTCCGAAACAAACAGCTCTTCTCCATGTTCATCTACAAACTATGCTCTTCCAGGAAGATAGATGTGAATTTCCTGCATCCAGAGAACTGCTGCCAGATCTCTCAGTAACTTAGAAAAGACTGCTGGGGAGGTGAGCAGAAGTGCGCTCTACTGACAGCTCTTTTTATGGCAGCAAAAGCAAACATTTCCCCAGCATTATGTTCATTTGAATGAAGAAGATGATAATAAATCCATTAAAATGAAAGGGCTGAGCTCTCTCTTTTCAATAGAAAATCAACATTCTGTGTCTTGGCATTCAATATCCATGTGAAATGGAGCCAGATACAGTAGAAAAGCTTAGACCATGAAACGCTTAAGCCCTGTCCCCTAGAATCCCAGTAATCCTGTGCCCTTTGCCCAGGAACGATCCATTAGCGTGAGGAGAGAAAATATTTTAACTCTCACATTAACAGGCTCCCCCAGGATC